CATTTGTTTCTTGATCGGTCTTGGTGGGGTATTTTATTAGAGGTTGAAGACAATGGCTATCTCGAAGGGGTGGTAAGTCTTATATTCTTTTTATATTGCATTTTGATTAATTTTTTAAAATTTATTAATAAATTCACTAATATATGTATTTTTTTATAAAACAACATATTGATGCATGGGTGTCACGTCTTCTAATAATAAGGAAATTGAAGAAAATAAAAATTACTCGATGGACTATTATGCCGACGTCTTTTCACGTAGCTCACTTGAAGGATCTGAGAGATGCTTCATATATGTTGGGTAATGGAAAAGCTAAATTTTATCCTGCGTGGTGGGAGGTCGATAAGGTTAGTATTTATTTTTTGAATATTTTAAAGGTGTTTATCCCTGTTTTGGAACATCTTTTATTTGATGTGCGTAATTATTTATAATTGCAAGTGTTTATCCCTGTTTTAAAACGTCGTCATTGGATTCTCCTCGAGATTCAGCTCCCATCCCTGAAGACAATAGTATATGACAACATGTTAAATTACATACCATTGTCTGATTTGAGATATATTATTTGTAAGGGATGGAGCACTCATTTGGCGAAATACTTGAATGCAATTGATTATTGTACTAATTCTGGAAATAAGAAGCAAAAAAAGTTCAAAGTTACAATGATCAGAGACGAGATCGTGCCATAACAAACGGAGAGAGCCAGAGGGGATTGTGGTCCTCTCGTATGCATGTGCTTGGAACGTTTGACGATAAGAAGTAAACAGTTTCTACCTCTCACAGATAGAGATAGAGGTGCAGTAGGCTTGTGGTTTCGGCATTTTATGGCTAGAGCGATATATGCGAGACGCTGCCTACCTGCATCCGTGTGCTGAAAGTGTGCATAAACAATTGGTAAGTTTGAGCAAGTGTTGTTAACATATATACTCTTTGTTGGTTTGAAAATGTTTGGTTAAGTACCTAGAATTCAATAATTTGATGTTTGTTGGTTTTAGATGTGTAGAAAGTGTTGTTTGAGCAAATGCTTGGTTTCTGCAGGTTAATCCTGAAGTGAGCTGCGTGAAATTGATGTATTTGTACATAAACAACTGTCTGGGGTACACTTTTTTTGCTTGTTTAATTGAATTTTAAATTGATTTGTAAAAGTTGATTTGTTTAATTGATAAGGAAATAAGAATTATTTTTTGCTTGTTTAATTGATTTGTAAAAGTTGATTTGTTGTTTAATTGATTTGTTGAAGGCAAAAAAGACCTATTGAAGGTACACAACGCGAAAGTCTAATTCGTGTTGTGATTTTTTCGTTACGATAGTCAAATTCGCAATGCGATAGTCAAATTCGCAATGCGAAAGTCAAATTCGCGTTTCGATTTGCGATTTGCGATTTTGCATTTCGAATTTGACTTTCGTAACAATCGCAACGCGATAATCGCGTTGCGAATTTGACTATCGCAACGCAAAAATCGTAATGCGAATTTGACTTTCGCGTTGTGAATTTGACTTTCGCATCAATCGCAACAAAAAATCGCAACATGAATTTGACTTTCGCGTTGCGAATTCAAGGAAAACACCTTCAAAAAGATAACAGACAACAACCTGATAAGTGATAACAACTGAACAGATCATAGCAATGTTCAAACTCAAGTTACTAATGAATGTCTAACTGAAAATGTATGCATTCACACATAAAATACACATAATACAACGTTTGCATTTAAAAATCACATAAGTTAATAAGTCCCAAAAGGTGAAGCCGGTTGTGATTAGGATTTTGATTTTGATTGCGATTTTGATTTTGATTTCCTTTTGCTTGGCACCATATGAGCTTTGGATTTTGATGAGGATCCATATTTTGGTAGAGGAAAAGATGATTGTGATGGCACTGGTGACCCAACTACACTACTTCTAGGTTCAACAACATACAATGTAACGTCATCTTCTTGCGAAACACTAATGTAAGCAATGAATCGTTCAACATCTTCATTGTCGGTTAACAAATAAACTTTACCTTTTCTCTGATAAGATAGCCTAAATCCACTTAGAGGCTCTAAATTCAATTTCTTTGCAACACGTAACATTAGAGTTTCATAAGTTAATTTTTTTAATGACAGTTTTAGTTGAAGATTCATGGGTAAAGGCACATATTGTAAAACACCATGAACATTCTCCCATGAACCTCCAAAACACATATCTATCCAAACATGATCAACATTAGATGATTTCATTATACAAATTGTAAATTAATTTACTAAACAAACGAGCTATAAACTAGATATAATCACTAACTTAGAGAAAAACATACCTTTATTAAGTTGATAGTTGATAATTTGAGAGAGAAATCATTGAAAAATTTTAAAGAAATAAAATTATGTAAAAAAAATTAGAGATGGGGAAGGATGTCGTTGGATATAGGAACGGATGTCGCCGAAGAGAGTGATAGATAGAGATGGAATGAGTTGCGATTTAGGGATTTAGGTTATGAGTTGCTGCTGCTGCGTAGTTATATACCCAAAAGATTTGTGTTGCGAAACTAAAACCTGTTGCAAAATTAAATTCGTGTTGCGAATTCAAAAATCGAGTTGCGAATTCGAAAATCGAGTTGCGAATTTGAAATTCAGTGTTGCGAATTTGACTTCTTTGTTGCGATTTTCTAAATTCGCGGCGATTCACATATTCGCGTTGCGAATTTGGAAACTGTGTTACGAAATTGGAGTTCGCGTTGCGAATTTGTTGGTCATTTTCGTAAATCCAAAAAAAGTTAGTTAAAATCGTATATTATAAGGCATTTTCGGTCACTGAGGTTATTTTCTCTATTATAAATTACGAAAATTTTGAGATTAAATACCCCGAACATGCCTATAAGCACTTGTGATTTGGGATGGAAAACTAAATACCTTGCGCTTTGAAAAACGTGAGATGTGTTAAATACTACTTGCGATAAATTTCTCATGACGGTTCAATATATTGAGAACCTCGTGTTATGCTTAATGTGAGGTATTTAATACCAATATTAAATTACACTCTAAAAAGTGCGTACACGTTGGACGTACCTCACAAAGCAAGGCATTTCTTCACGTTTCGTAGGACTCGAGTTAATCCTACATATGCAGTTTGATGATATTTTTCTATCAAATCTACTTGAGGTACTCTTCAAAACAAAATGAATTTAAAGGGTTTTTTTATATATAATAATGCCTATTTGATTAGGACAAGGTCATCAACTTTCCTCTTTATTATAATGATCACATTCAAAGTACTCATATAAGTTTTGCAGTGGTAGTAAACCCAGATGGTTCGCACACACTCAATGAAATCTCAGTTTTTGCCCCATCTTCCATATGCAATCCCAAAGGGAAATCCATGTAAAGTCAAAAGAGTTAGATTAGTTTATTTATGAACTACAAAAAAAAAAAAAAAACGTCCCCCACTTATTTATGCTATTTACAACCTGTGATCGAATGATTGCGACCCGAGAGAAGAAGATAATGAGATGGGGCATTGTTTAATAACTTAGCAGGCTGCTTTCAGAAATGGGTTTCAATTTTAATGCGGAAGAAGCCCTACCGAACCTGGACAGAACAGGCTCCTGACCACACCCACAGTGTGGCTTGGATGCTGCTGCATCAGTGGCTCGATGAAGGTGACACCTAAACGAACCGGCGTGGCTTGTTGGTGAGCATATGCACGAATATTTCTTAGCTTTGTTCATCTTCATCGCATGCTCTTTTGGTGGCCTGGGAATGAAAGCTTTTGTTTCATCAGGACTGTTTATTTATTTTGTACAATCGGCAATTAGTACATGTCAGTCATGATAAGGCTGCAATCTTCTGAATTTGGCAACGATAACATAAACAAGTTAATGCGCAATTAACCATTCACGTGGTCTTGTTTCTCGCATAAATACTTTTATAATTAAGAAACGCATATAAAAATTAATACTTTTTTAATATATATATATATATATAAAGATGAAGCTCACCAAGGTGCAGCCATGGGGTTTTGATCTGACTTCAATGATTTCATTGGCATTTTAAAAAAAATTGCTGAACAAACCAAGTGAGGAAGATTAGCAGAAGAGGATAATGAGAAAAGGGGAAGAGATAAGAGAAGATGTACATTTTATTAGCGCAAGAAACGTTCAGTTATCAACAAAATATGTTAATGAGAAAATTAAGGGATAATTCAATATATGTTCGGAGATTTGAGTCATCATGTTTGCAGTTGTCGGGTGAATCTTGTGTTTTAGATGAAAATCTAAAGGTTTAATATTTTCGATATTATGTAAATCAAAATCCGTTGTATGTGGATCTATACAACATAGACGTTGGTAAATGATAATAATAAATTTTAATATTTCAGTATTCATTAAAAAATGAAATACTTTTCTCAATGCGAGAAATGCTGGGATTACCAAGTTTTCGAATCAAACTACACGCTGTCTTAAATTCAATTCCTAAACCTGACAATAACCATACATGAACTAGTTACGGTAAATATGGATTCAATCAAAACACAAAAAATTACAGTAAAAAGGTAACAAAAATATCTCTTTTCAGTAAAGAAGAGTGAATAATAAATTTGAAGGATATGATGCGTGGCCCGTGATGTTAGCAAGAATCAAAGGTTACAAATTTTATCAACTGTGGATTGTTTACTGGATCTGCAAAATTGTTGCAACAGTTTGCCCCTTTCCTCCGAAAGCAACATCTCAGACTTCCAAAATTAAATACAATCCCATGACTTGTAGTAAATCATATAAAGATAATCAAAAAGAATCACGTCATTTCACATCATCTGTTGATTTCTTAAAAAAGAAAAACATAATTTTTTTACAAGACAGTAAAAAATCTCGAGAAAATTTTTTTACAGAAATTTTCATATATTAATCAAACGGATTTTCTTACAAAAGAAAAAACCTTCTTAACGAGAAGGTTTAGCTAGTTAACAATAACGATTACTTAATATAACAACAATCATTATGATAATTATCATCTTAACCCATTAAAACCCTTGAGTACACCAAGGGGAAGGGACGGATCAAAAGAACTATATTTACGTAATCCTCCAAGATGATCAACTTGGCACCAAACAGCATGAGAACAAGCTCAACCTTTTTTTCTGCATCAAAACAAAGGCAAAATGATTAATAATTGAGCAAGTAGGAAAACACAATTATTACCAACACGAGGTACAGTGGGGGAGATTGTAAAAGCTTTTAAATTCGAAAATTAATGGAGGAGTGGAGCCTACCTTTTTGGTTTTAGTGTAAAGTAGGTCAGGCGAGATTTTGTAAAGGTCTTCATCAACGGGTTTTGGAGTTGGCTTGGACACGGGAATGGGGCTTGCTGCCGATGCCGGTTGTTTCACGTCACTGACCTCCCATTCTTGCTTTTTGCCGTCTTTAACATGCGACTGTCTTACTTTTGTCTGTAAGCATACTTATGAGTGTTTAATACTAATTGTTTATTAACGTCATCATAATCATCATAAGTGTTTGAATTTCAGCACCATACCATCTAAAGTGATAGAAAGGAAACTAAGCACTAAAGAAGATTTTTTGCTTCCTTTTTCTTAAAGAAAACTCGACTTTAATGTTCTCTAATGGTGGCTTTGCTTTGTTAGTCTACTTTCAAGAAAAATAGTATTATCTTAACGCAAAGTAAGCACTATTCTACTGGCATAACAATTCAATGGCAAAAGACTGAATATGTTTATGAAAAACAAATGAAATAAAACCATGCTGAAATTAAAGAAGAAATTTAAGATTTAGTTCTTAGCTTACTTACCCTTTTACGAGGAACGACAATCACGGCGGGAGTGACGACATCGTTCTCATAAAGATCGCCAGCGACGTATAAATCACGATCCTCGGCGTAGCTATAACGAAGGAATCCGGTTTGCCGAGCCGATTCAAACACTGAGTAAAAGGAAGGTCATTGTTCCAATCCCAGCTACCAAAAGCTGGAACATGGTTCCTTCTGTAATAATCCTGAATACACAAACACAGTCATCTACTTCAAACAACAACAACGCCAAGTAAAAAACCAAAACCAAAAATAGAAAACACACGAAACACAATTTGAAAGCATAGACCATAGAACGAAGAAAAAGGTAGACTTTACTTACATCCATACTGCCAGAGAGAAACAAGTGTTGGAATGTACTGGCGATTGACCCAACTTTTCAAAGAGTTAGAAAATTTTGTTTCTTCTTTCACTTGTTTCTTTCTTTAGGCGAGCTTGGATCGTCTAGCAATTTAAAGGGTGAAAGGAAGGTAGGGTAAAAAGTAGGGGTATGGGGCGGATCCAAAGCAGTGAAATTTTATCTCTGGTAAAAGAAAAAAGGTAAAACCCAGATACCGAAGTTTCACCGTAGGAGACACTGGGACAAAGAGGTAAGGGTCAGATGATGAAAAGAAGAAAGATTTGTAAAAAAGGGTTAGTGTGTTTTTGATCAAGTGTATATTCCAATGTTTGAATCTTTTGATTTTACTTTTGTTTATCTTTATACTGTAACGTTCAAGCAAAGGCTATGGATTGGCCTTTGGGTTTAGGGTTTCTAAAGCCACACGCGTAGTGGGGAAGAGAGGTGGTTCGATCAAAAGTGGTTAATGACGATGAAGTCAGTAAAGGGTCAACACTCAACAGTTTGCACTGGGTGTGTAATGGATCTGAGAGGGGTAACAGTGTTTTAAAGTTGAAAACTTGCAGAAGACAGAGTTGCAGTGAGGTAGAATAAATTTTATCTTTTGATTTTTGCGGGGAAGCACTTCATTTGATAACGACATGTGCAATTGTGCACACAATCTCTGTCCTTTTGCTTTAATTTATTAACACTTTAATAATAACTTCTGATATTTCACATTCGTTTCTACCCATCAGTAATACTCCAACTCTCCAATAAATTATATGCTATTACTCTTATTTATGATTCTTTATTTAATTAATGATTTAATCATTAAATTTATCACAAGAATTGTATTTTTAATATATGTAAAATTTCAATAGTATATTAATAAGTTTTTTTATTTTCTAGATTTTAAAAAGTAAATGAAATAGCTTAAAAGAAAAATAGGTATGGTACGAGGTGGAGTAGTTTGTAGTCAGTTGTCATGGAGATTCTAGGCGTGTCCTTAGCCAGATCCCTGTTTCCAAAGAAATGAAGAACATATTTTGTTTTATGTTCTGCGTTCAGTTCAGTTTTTTTTATTAAAATATGAATTAAATCATATTTAATATGATTCAAATCATATTTTACGGGTTTAAAAATTGAAAACGAAGTAATAACCACTGTATTTGATTTGATTTTGTGATTTTTTTATTGTTTACTATATTTCAAACCTCTAAAAAAAGTAAATTTAAAGTTTAAATCAAGTGTAAATATGTAAATTTAAAGTTTAAAAAGTATTATTAATTTTATTTTTTTTAATTTATATTATAATAAATTCACATGAATTTGTTTTGGATGTTTATTTTTTTAATTTTATTAAAAAGGTTTTCATATGAAAATAAAATCAAAATCGAACTAAGTTACTATATATTTATTTTTTAAAACCGAACCAAAATCGAATCATAAATTAAAAAATCAAAACCGAACTGAACCACGTAATCCGGTTTAGATTGATTTTTTTAATTTTCCCTAGTGCGTTGTAGCATAACATAACTCGAAACGGTGCGCACCTTAGATTCGGAAAGTATGTGTTTTTTAGTCCAAATAAGGTGTTTTCTTCTCTCTTTGGTCAGTCAAACAGGATTGTACAACAGTGTATAATTCCATCGCAAACAAACAAAAACAAAAATACAAATTTTTTAATTATAAATTATTTTCTGCCTATTTTTTTAGAATTCATAAACATAAGTCATCTCATCCTAATTACGACCAAATCTTTATTTATTTAGACAAAAAAATATAAGAATATTCCAGATAATCAACTCCCAGATGAATTTATTATTTGTTCCCTATATTGTATCGTTAAATAATTTGCCAATAATTATCTTCCAAAATTATTCAAGGACAACAATAGATTTACAGCCCAATTAAAAAAGAAAAGGCCAACCCTTGTGACAATAGCTTACCCTTTTATAGTTTAGACCCATTGAGCCTGTTTGTTGAACCGTTTGCTAAGTTGTTAAAATAGTAAGCTATTCCAATTCTGTGTTCCCACCGTTTTGTTTCCAAAAGGCTTGAGATCAATGATCTACGGAGGCTGTCTTAGCTCAGCCGGTAGAGTGCATGGCTTTTAACCATTTGATCGTGGGTTTGATTCCCAACGGCGATGATATTTATTTACTTACCTATTCTGTTTTTCATGATTTATGCCTCTCACATTATTACTTCCAGACAGTTTATATAATAGAGGAACCAACCAGAGCTATAAAAGCTCATGAGAAGATGTTATACAAGGAATCACATTTTATAGTTATATGAATTCAAAAGCTAATCACTTTAGTAAAATGATAAAAAGAGGTTTTGGACTTTGGATAAAGACAAGACTATTTGCTATTTTAACATCATGTTTCCAGTCCACTATTCTTTAAGTGTTAACAGTTAAATCCAAGTTCGAATCATCTATTATTATGAGGAATACTTATAAATATATTTATTAAATTTAAAATAATAATTCAGAAAAACTAATGTGATTAAGTAGAAAAAGGAAAAGAAAAGTAATTTAGGAGTTTGAATATTAAAACGACACCTGTTTCCAGAACCATAAAGTGATCCTAAATAAAGAACAAAATGCATGTGGAAGCTGCTTATCCGAAGGCAAGCATAATTATGAGGTGGTCAAGGAGTCTAGTTCTAAAGCTTTGATGTTTATCAATCTCTAAACAACCCTTGGCCCACCATGTTTTTTTCCCAATTCCTATTTAATTTGTATTTTTCTTTATAGAAACAATTAATTTTATTTAAAATTAAGAAATATCCTAAACTAAAATAAAGTTTTACAACTACAATAGTAAATTAAGCATAATTAATAAAATTTCCTATAATCATTGAAACAAAACTAGTAACTTAATATCACGGTAGGACCACACAAGGAAGATTAAATCTAACCAAGAAACTGAAAAAAGATAGATCCAAACATATCTGATCGCATCGGGAACGAAACCACAAAAAGAAATCAAGCTATTGAAAGACTACTGACAAAACACAAATCAAACTCGAGCGACATAAAAAACTATCCACTATCGCGAATCGGGTATCTAAATCTAATCCGATGGACCAAAGCAAGAAGATCACAAGATATCAAATAAGGGTCATATTGATCAGTTATGACGATGTCAAATCAACTCTTATAAAAAAGATAAATAAAAAAGGTCAAAGAACTCAAAAACTTGCCAATAAAGCTTAAGAAAATGTGCTATAAAGGCAGATGAAAACGTGAAACACAAGTAGACTTATTGAAAATAAAAAAACAAAATAAAATAAAGATATGATATGATATGATATAGAAAGAAAAAGAAGATAAAGAATACCGACGATTGGCAACCAACATTAAAATTGGTGTCGTAGTCGATTAACAAAAAGAAAAAAGAAAATAGATGAGCGGCACATCAATGAGAAAAAAAATTAAGTTTTTAGGGTTTTTAGATTTGTCGAACGAGAAGATTTTTTTTTCTATTTCATTTTTAATTAATTCTATAATTTTAGGTTTCTTTTACCTTTTTTTTAGAAGTAATACGTGTCTTACCTCTACACTAATGATTAATAATGATGCAAATGAAAGGAGATTTATTAATGGTTAATATTACACAATTCTATGCTTGAAATCATGGGTGGATATTTGAATTTCGTGTAATGAAATAAAATTGTAGTAATTAAATTCAATAATAGTAAATACTACCAGTAATTAAGGTTGTGTTTGAAATGCCGATGCGTGAAATATTTAGATAATTGTTATAAAAGGTAAAGTACCTAAACAACCACTACAATATATTGAAATAATTTTATGATCACTTAAAATTTGAAGTTATAAAATAATTATTAAAATTTTTAAACAGTTATAAAATGATTATTAAACCTTATTAAATTAATCACTATTTTATTATGTGTGGCGAATTTTATGACATTTTACGGTTTCTAAAACTTCAATGATCAAATAATTATTTTAATATAATATATTAATCATCTGTGTACCTAGTCATGTTATAAATAGTAAGTTCCATTAAATTAAATATATTTAAATAATTTTAATTTTATATAATTTTATTTTTTCTAAAAATTTGAAAGTTTAGCCAAATATGCTCTATTTAGTAATAATAACTTTAAAGAATTTCTTTATTGGTTTGTAATTAATGTGCCATATTAAAATGTGCAACTACATTTGACAATCAAACTTAGATAAAATTATTTTTATAGTTATAAAACAATGTATCTATTATCCTAATAATTAGATTTATTTATAATTTTGTTGAACTAATAATAATTACTAATTTTAGTAAGGTTTAATAAAAAAATAATTGCCTAAAGTATGCATCGAAAAATATTTTAGTGCCTAAAGATTTTTCACTAAAAATAGGTGCTAAATGTATTCTCAGTTATACTTTTAGGTGCCTACCGTTTTAATTTTTAATAATAAAAATATTATTTTTAATTAAAAAAGAAAAAATTTAAAAAGTTCAATTTATTTACAAAAGAACCCAACTTTTTACTCAAAATATAAAAAAACCCTAAAAACTAAAATATCTCATTTCAACCCCATTATCAACTGTCGCCGGCCATATCTGACCACCATCATTATCGTCGAATGGTCACTCACCCGTTGCCACCCACCTATTGATCAATCGTTGTCCTTATCGTTACCCAAAATCCCTAAATTTAAAATCCCTAATATCTAAATCCCTAATTCTCAATTTTAATTTCTTAACTCAAACGATTGTCGGTGACATGTTATGAAGAAAGATCAATAGGGGTTTGATCGAGGGTCAACATCGGTGTCAATGATGGTGATTGTGATGGTGATGGTCACCGTCGACTGATCGACCGACAAAGAAGGGGAAGGAGGCTGTTGCATCAGGGGTTGTTTTAATACAAAAAAATATTTTTATTTTTTAAAAGAAATTATCAAAATTATCAGAATGTGACACGTATCACTTAATGGGGATATTTAATAGCTATTAACGTCTGGGCACCTAAAAGTATAATGTTGGAAATATTAGACACCTATTTTTAACGAAAAATTCTTCAGGCACTAAAACATTTTTCGAGACATAATTTAGAAACCTATTTTTGTATCAATCCTTTTATTAAATAAAGAGTATATACAATAACATTAAGAGAAAATAACCTCAGTGATCGAAAATTCCTTATAATATACGATTTTGACCAACTTTTTTTTGATTTGCCAAAATAACCAACAAAATCGCAATGCGATCTCTAAATCGCAAAGCGATCTCCAGTATCGCAAATTAGTTTTCAGATTCGCAACGCGATTTTGACTATCGCAACGCGATTCTGGCTGTCGCAACGCTGAATTTCAAATTCGCAACAGGTT